ACTCTCTCTAAAATTCAATGGAGAAAAAAAAATCCTCGAGTGAGGTTTGACAACACCAAAAAAAGAATATTGTTGGGCCTTGGAGGATGAAGAAAATTCTGAGGAGAATGTAAAGTGATGCAACCAGTTGAGGTGGGAGTAAAAAAGGAAGGAGTGGGTTTTTGGGAAGAGGGCGGAAAGTCAAGATGAGTTTGGTCTTTGGATGTGTTGGGTTTCAGTGTACTGTGGGACATCTATGTCTAATGCAAGGAAAGCAGTGTGTTCTTACGATGGAACAGCTTTATTCTCTGTTCCTTGTGAAGTTTTCAACCACTTTCATTAGCTGGCAATGAAATGACTCAATCATTCCTAACATTCCTTTATTATGCCTGTGGTTTTTGGATTTTAAGATCTTTTCTCTGACCCTTAAGCCATGTTGCCTTGTTTTGTCAGCTGTCTGGGAATTTCATTCTGCCACATTCTCACCCTATGTTGAAAACACCCCCTATACCCAAGTTGTTGCTTGGCTCAGATCACAGTAGGTAACAGGATTGTCAAAAATCTGTTGAAAGAAAAAGTGGCAGAAACAGTGGGACATCTTAGAGGCTGAGACCACTGCTGACGCCTTGGGATCTTGAGCTACTTTCTTCTGTGGGCTTCAGTTTCCTCACTTACAAAGTGAGGAGATTTGGGTGATAATCTTGAAAGGTCCCTTTCTGTGATCTGAGCATGAGATACAACTGGTGGCCACATTTTAAAAATTCCTCATACTAGAGATGTTTAACCAGGAACAAGAGAAAGCTGCTAATTTGCTTAAGAATAAATTATATTCATTCAGCCACACCTAACTCCTAACCCCTAGAGGGACCAAGTGAGCCCCTTTGCAGTGAAACCAAACCCTACTTTTCAGAACGCAATTGAAAGTTTGCTTCAAGTACTTAGGATCAAATGGTTGATTCATTAACATAATTTTCTATTCCAATTGGAGCAGCTTGCTTCATTTGACCTTTATTGAAGACAGTGTTTTATGTTAGAAGCAGGATGCATGCTATATGATAATACAGAAAGCCAAAGGGTTATATTTGTAGCTTTTAGGGTTGTTGTTTTTTTAATGTCTCCGGGATTTATCCCAGACTTGGAAACAAGCCTTTTTCAATATGTAACTGCCTCCTAAAATGATGTGTAGAAAGAGTGCCAGGCACTTTCTTTTTACCCAGAATTCTCTTGCTTCAGCATCTCCCCATGTTCATGAGCACATATGTAAAAGAGAGAGGGTAGAAAACGATGAAGAAAGTTTTTGATTAGCTTTCCTAGGGATTCCATCCCCAGTGTATCCTTTCTCAGTCCCAGGTTGCCTACTTCAGAGCTACACTGCCAAAGACATAGCCATTGGAGGACAGAGTTATTAATGCAATAAATATTTAAGTACACACATATTTAAAGATAGTTTCAGATGCTTTGGGATATAAAAATACCAAAGAAAATTTGTCAAGGCATCTGCTGTTGTGGAGCTTGAATGTGAGGGCTGGGGTAGCTTAAACATTGTTAAAGTGTGGCAGTAGGCCAGCAGCTTGGGCATCACCTAGGAGCTTGTTAGAAATGTAGACTGTCCAGACCTTCTGAATCAAATCTGCATTTTAATAAGGTCTGCAGATGATTCATAGGCACAGAAGAGTCCTAAAAGCAGTGGACTAGAATACAAAGTGGGATGTTCTGTGAGAATTTGGGACAATTACACCTTTATTTAGCACTTTACATAAAATCACCTTGTTGAATTTTTTAAGTCCATGAAGTTGGTACTGTTACCCTTATTTGGCAGACAGAAACTTTAAAGTTGAAGTATCTTGCCGAGCTGATAAAAGCTGAGAAGAGGCAGCACCTAGTTTCCAGTCTCCTGACTGGAAGAATATCAGAGAGAGGAATTTAATGTGCAGGAAGTAAGATGGAAAGTTGCAGGTGGTATTTAAAGTACCCAAAAAGTTCTATAATTAAACTGAGTGTATTGATTGGGAAAGTAAATGGTGGGAAATGAAGTTTGACGTGTAGGTGAAAGCCAGGTTATGCAGCTCCAGCTCCAGTCATACAGCCAGTATTCACATTTTCTCACATGAGGGAAGAGATGGAAAACTGGTGTGTATTGTTTCTCTGAGTAATGTAACCTGTGAAAAGGTCAACTTTTCTTAAAGAATCTTCTAAAAGTCAGAAAAGTTGCTCAGTCCCCTCTCCTTCCCACCCCACCCCCACAGTAGACTGATGCCTCCTGGCTTTGTACTACAGATTCAGGGGCAAAGCCACCTATTATGTAAAGCTGAACGTAGAGTGGCCCACTCTACTTTGACTTGCTGGGTCTACACCTGCAGGAATTGATTGTGACAGACTGCATTTGGAGGTCTGAACCACTTTGAGGAAGGAAACCAGGATAATCAGATTTAACCTGTCAATCTGTATTTGGTACGTTTAGCCTGGAAAAGACAAGACAGGAGGCACAGGAAAGCTATAGCCAAATATTTACAAAGCACATACCATCGCTAGCTCCTGGGGATAAGTGTTGAACATGACACAGTAAGCTTCCTGCATCATGGAGATTAGTAAGGAAATTGACATTAAATGAAACACTAAAAATAGTAAAATAAGTGCTGCAATAGAAGCTCTGACTGTGATGGGAACCAGAAAGACGACAGGAAAAACTTCCTTGAGGAAGTGGTGTTTAAACTGAAATTCAAAGAGTCAATTGGAGTTAGCCAGAGAGGATAATCCAATTATGTGCAAAGGTTTTGTGGTGCAACAGCTTGGTATGGTAGTGACATTTGCAAGTCTAGTTGAAAGAAAAAATGGGAAAGGGAAAGAAGGTTGAACAGGTAAGCAGGAACCAGGTATTTTACTGCCTTGTAACCATGTTCTAGATTTTGGATTTTGTTTGAAAGGCAACAACCTATTGAAGGCTCAAAAGTAAACGTTGCATGTGTCGTAAGTTGCCACGTGTAAGTAAAAAAGTCCAAATAGGGCATGATGTTGAAGACTATTGAGTAGACACAACTGTGTGATGGCTGGTTGACTGGCTAGGTGGATGGATGACACTACAGGTGGGCTGAGATGTCTTCTAGAGCAATAAATTCTTGGTCATTGGGGGTGTTCAGGTGTCCAAGTGGGGAATCAAACAAACGGGTTTTTTGGCCTAGATTCTCCTTGAGGCACCTTACAGAGATTTATAATACCTTGTATTTGTTTATAAACGTCACTACAAATAATAGTTGCCTGTATCTATATGTGTAGCATGGTACTTTTACACAAATTCTCAAATTCTTATTACAGCTCCACAAAGTGGGAATAACTCCCACTTTACAAATGAAGAATTGAGCCCCAGATTAAGTAACTTGCCCAATGTGACAAGGTTAGTGAATAGTATTGTCAAAACTGAACCCAGATCCGTTACACTCTCAAAGGCCGATCTTCATAACAGCTACTGTATAAAGCTTCTGTACAACCTAGTACACCAATATGGTAATAGGCACTTGATGAACGAGCAATCTGGACTTCTTCTAGGGGACTTTGCATTTACTTAAAAACATTTTAATGTGTGCTGTGTGCCAAGCACTAGGGATACAGTAGTCAATAAAATGGACATGGGCCCTGTCTTCCTTGAGTTTACAAGAAAGACCAATATTAAACCAAAAATTGCACAAATCACTATAGTTGTGTTAAGTGCTTTGAAAGTAAAGTCTAAGGTGCTTTGTAACAGGGATCTAATGGAGTGTGGGAGGTACTGATTCAGCTGTCACAACCCTATCTTTCTCCAAAAAGTTTCTGGTTACCATTCTTTAATGGTCTCTGGCTTATGTTTAACCTGTTATAGTGAAATCCCAGGCCTTATTTGAGTAACTTTTAGTCCTTAACTAGAAAGGATTCTGGCTTCATTCAGTTGCTAGCAGACTATGGGCTTAACATCCATAGCAGTCACTGCTAAATCATTTCTCCCTGACATAAGTACTGTATTTCCAATAGCATTGTAGACTCCACTTTGTGGATGTGGCTCTGACAACTCAAGCAACTTACCATACCTCCCCTTCCTGTAAGAACAAAATGGTTATTCCTTCCCCACCAGGCTTCCCTATTCCTGCTCTTTCAGTCAACCACATTGAACAGCTTGGAGTAGCATCAGACGGTATTTTCTAAAGACGATTTGTCATGACTGACCCTTTCTCTCTTTCCTTATTGTGTCCCTCCCCTCCTGTTGGTGCCAGCACTCTTTTGGATCCTTGCTGTGTGCGAACTGTCTTTCTCCCGGTAAGCTCTTGGGGAACAGATCGTACGTTTTATATTTTCACATCACCTTGCTAATAGGTACTAATCAGTAAATAATTGATTTGATAACGTCAGATAGTTCATAGTGCAACATGTTACTGTTTACAAAGTGTTTAGGAAATACCACTTGTCCCTAATATAAATTGAGGTGGAATCCTCTTCTGTAGAAAGATGAGCAAAATGAGGCTCGAATGTTGAAAGCCTTCGTAAAGATCAGTTTCTAAACGAGTGACATGGAAAAAGGGAATGCCACCAAATGATCCAGTAATGACCTCCCCCCAATTTACCAAGGGAACTATTCACTCTTTAGTGAAGCCCTCTCTAAATCCTGTCTCAAGTCTCAACATAGCCTCAATTTTCTCATTTGTCATATGAAAATATTGCTGTTCATTCCTTGGATTGTTGGAAATGATCTATATACACTGTCCAAGAAGGTAACCACTAGCCACACGTGGCTACTTTAAGTAAAATAAAATGTAAAATTCAGTTCCTTTGCCACAGTATACACATTTCAAGTGACTAATGGCTACCATATCAGACAGAGCATATTATTACCATCTTTGAAGAAAGTCCTATTGGACAGTGCTGTGCTAGAGCTAGGACTTGCCAAAGATCAGAGAAAACAATATGACTGAACTGAAAACCCAGGCCAGTCAGTACCTGGTTGGTTTTGAGTGAGAAGTTTCACTGGGTGAGTGGGAAGCAAGCTGATCTTTGGGACGCTGACATCACAAAGCACAGCTCATAGTGGCTCTAGAACACCTGGGCTCCCGGGTTACTTTCCCTAACTCATAACTGGGGTCCTGAAGCCTCTGAACATGTAGCTCCTGGAGCTGCTATCTTATTAAAATGTCAACATTCTCACCTTCATCATCTATCTGGGACATCCTAGATTATGCCTCTCTCAGCTCAATATGGAATTGGCTACAATCAATTCTCCCAGGACAGACTAGTGTGACTCAGCAACCAAATTTGGGGCTACTAGATAATCTTGCTTCGGCTGTGCAAGTTATCCTGGGAATCTTCTTTCTTATTTTGTTGGCAGTAGGACTATTTACCTTATGGAAACGAAGTGTTCGGTCAATTCAGGTTATACTCTTTTGTTACAGAGAAATTTAAATAGTTGTACATTGAAGTTGCCTCCCTTATTGCTGCCACCTAGTTTTAAGACCATGCAGATGAGCAAGGGTGAACCCTTGTCTCTGAAGGTTCTTTAGTTGGTTGAAACTAAATTATCCTTGAAACTTCCCCCAATTACGTTTTGAGCATAAAAATTATCTTTCTCACAATTGTCTTTGGCTTGCCTTATAGTAAAATAGATCAAACAAGTTCACAACCTGAGAAGGCAGCCTTATGCCCACCTTTGATCACTGACTCATCTCTGAGTGTCTACTATGTGCCAGATGCCAGACACCATTCGGGGTGCCTTTCCTACAATAGGCACTGCGAGTATGACTGGGAGCTTGGGGTCTCACTGTGCCATTGCTCTGTAACTGACGAGACGGCATGAATATGCATTTAGCCGTCATGGTGTTTTCATCATGTCCTTGTTTTAACAAGATAGGGTTCCATAAGTATACAGTGGTTCTTTTTGGTAAGAGGAGTATAGTTGGCTGAGATTATGAGAAACATTTAGGAGATCATATATATATTTTGTTGTTGATTTCAGAGAAGAAGGGCGAGGGAGGAAGAGAGAAACCTCAGTGATGAGAGAGTCATTGATCAGCTCCCTCCTGCACACCCCCGACTGGGGATAGAGCCTGCAACCCGGGCATGTGCCCTGACCGGGAATCGAACCATGATCTCCTGGATCCTAGGTTGACGCTCAACCACTGAGCCACGCCTGGCCGGGCAAGATTTAGAATTTCATATACTTCTGTTTAATCACCAATAATAATAGCTATATTTACAATATAGTCAAAATGCTTTCAGAATCCCAACAATTCCTTGAAATGGATAAAAGTTATTCTCATATGGCAAAAAAAAAAAAAGGGGGGAACTGAGGTTCAGTGGAAATTAAAGGAGGTGGGGTTTTAAAAAAGACTTTCTTAAAGAGTGGCTGGTTTACTTGGCAAATGCTAAGAGAAATTATTACCAGGTCACTTAGAGTGAATGACCACTGTTGAGGAACCACGGTCACATGCATTCTCTTAATTTTTCAAAGCCTGCTTGGTAGGCAGGGCAGGGATTATCATCTCCATTTGTAGGTGAGGAAACTTGGTTATCACCTACTCAAGTTGACAGAGACTGGAAAAGCTGAGATTGGAACCCAACTTTTAGGATTCAAATTCAATTCTTTCCCAAAACCTCATTTAACATAATCTGACCCAAATACCCAGCATGGATATGTGTGTATACAAATTCACATACACACACTGCAATTAGATAATAGAATATAAGGCAAAAAACCAAATTCTTAACTGCAGTTCTGGGTTCTGCTCCTTTAGGGTTAATGTTTCGCTCAGTCAGAAAGATACATTCACAGCCCTCCTGTAACCTCAGCCAAGAAAAAGTGGTAGTATACCAGAATGGTAAATAGCAGGGCTCTGAAGTCCACTGCTGGGGCTTAAATCTTGGCTCCACCACTTGCTGTATGACCAGAGCAGTAGCTTAGCCTCTAAACCCAGTTTCCCTATCTGTGAGATGGGTTTGTTAACAGTGCCTCCCGCAGGGCCTTGTGAGGATTAAAGGAGTTACCGTATGTATAAAGTTTAGCATGCGAGTACTCAGTAGGCAGTGCCAGTGTTCTAAGGAAAAAAGATGAATGGTTTGGGGTGTTTTTTTTCTTTTTCTTTTTCTTATTCTGGCAGGAATCTGTCCTGGTATATTAAAAAAGTTTTTTGCCATGACCAGGAAATCCAGTTTTTCAGACCACTGTGTCATGAAAGAACATACAAGGAAGTCAGAATTCCTGGATTCTAGTACTGGCTCTACCATTTCCAAGTATAAGACCTTGGACAATGACAGGGTTCAAACTGGAAGGTAACTACTGGCTATTCTACTGTGTGGTGTGTTTTTTACATAAATAGGTCATGCACAGGCAAGGAAACTCCTAGTAAAGAGCCCTGCATGTGGCAAACTTTCAGCAAAGGGTATCTTCTATAATCTTCAGTAAGTAAATGCAAATAATAATCCCTGACCTGCCTACCACTCCATTTTGTGGCGAAGATCAAAAGATGAAATAGGGACAAAGATGCTTTGTTAAACAAGGCCTGGTAAGGAATAAGGTATTATGGTTACCATTCCATTTTTTGGTTTTGCATCTATAGCAAACTGGCATTTCACGTGAATAAATAAGTAACGTTCAACTTCTGTTGTTTTATTTTAGAGTATATTGTTGTTTGTAATCACACTCTACAGACTTTACAAGAAGGGCTCAGATTTTTTGCAGGCTTTGCTGGCCAACCCAGAAGGGCATAGCCTCCCACTTCCAGAAGGTCATAATTTCTTCCTGTCCTTGGGTCTGCAAGAGAAAATTCTGAAACAACTTCAGATGGTGGAAAACAAAGTGAAGAACCTGGAAGGGATGATCACTTCTAAAAAACCTGCCACGAAGAGGGATTGCTCCTCTGAGCCCTACTGCAGCTGCTCCGACTGCCACAGTCCCTTGCCCACGTCAGGGTTTACTTCCACGTCTGAAATCTGATGGACTCCACAATCTTTTCCAGAAAAGCACTGTTTCCCTTATGTGTGCAGTGGTGTGTACCAATAAAGGTAAAGAACTATGCCGAAATTACCCTGCAAGGCCTGGCTCTCTATTCAGTAGAGCCCAACTTCTACTTGTGTGTGTGGTGGGGTAATATTGGATATGGTGGTGGTTAAAAATGTCTCTGAGATAGTGGTGCCCGCTCTGCCGGCTGGAGACCATGAGCAGTCATACAGAAAAGGGTGGGCCAACTGGAAGCCACGGGAGTGGGAAAAGAACGTAGAGTGGTCAGGGATATGGCCTTCGGCTCCATGCTGAAGAGGTTGGATTGGCCATAATCAACAGCCGGAAAGTGCCGTTGAAGGCGATGCTGTGGACTGTCCTGTAGAGGTAGGCTGGCGCTTGTGCTGGTCTTAGGCCTAAAGTAAGAATTTGGCCCAGGAGTCTCCCTGCATTAATTACTCAGGAGTGGACAAGGGTGGGGGTGGAAATAAAGGAGACTTTAACTTTATCCAACTTTCACTGATACTTCCTCTGTGTTAAGCAGTGTGATAATCCTTGGGAATCTGTCCTGAGTGCTTCAGGGGCACTCAGTTTGGCTGGTTAGACAGGTAATTGCAGAACAAGGAATTACAACACTGGGGTCCTAACATCTTTAATTTAGGGCAATTCTCATGTGAATCAAGCTTGGCAGTGCTAGGTTGGTTAGATCATCACCCCAATGAGCCACGGTTACAACTCTGATCCCCAGTCAAGGCACATACAAAGGTCAACCAGTGACTGCAGGAATGAGTGGAATAACAAATCAGCGTCCCCCCTCCTTCCTCTCTCTTCAAAATCAATAAAACAAAATCCAGCTTGGCAGGGAGGGAAGAAAGACAGAAGACACCCACTTGCCATTACACTCAACTGGAGTGTGTACCCTGACAAGAAAGATGGCCTATTTGGGGAAAGATAGTTGGTCCTCTCAGTGGGTCTCATATTCCACAAACCTTAGTGAGCATTTTTGCCACAATCAATGTGATTACACTCATTGAAACACTGTATCTGACATCTAAATGAAATATTTCACTTGGTGTGCCAATAAACTGATTTATTGCTGTGCAGGACAAAACTGGCTATACTGTTCAACAGGAGACAGCTGTCCCAAGTGACTTCTTTGTAAGGGCTTTCCAAGGGTAATTTTGATCATTTTTGTCCAGTACATTGGTGTTAAAATGCAACCCTTATGTAAAATGAGATTTCATTGTATAGTGTACTCAGTGCAAAAACAGGTCAACAGGTCGGTGAATACGGGGTGGGGTCAGGAAAGGTTTTGCAGAGATGGTACTGAGTTGTCCTATAAAGGGCTACATAGGAAGGTGTTCCTGCTGCTGGGATCACCATGGAGCCATAATAAAAGAGGGTGGCTTGCCAGGAGAACAGGGAGAGTTTCAAGGTGGCCAAAGAACTGGCTATTTCCAGAACTACAATGAAGGATTTTGGCTTGGGGGCAAGACACACTAATCTCATCCTCAAATCAGCTTTTAATTCATGATGTGGCAAACAGAACAGATGGGAGTTACCAACAATGCACCATCTGACAGTGTAGGCGAGAAGTTGAACTATGCTGCTGAAGTGCCATGCAATCTCTTAAAGTCAATGTCTCAATATTTCGTGCTATCTAAACTCCAGTGTCTTCCTGCATAGTTCCAGTCATTTTGTCTTAGTTACCACTCTGGGGTATATCAAAGGAAAGTGTCTGAAGAAGGGCCTAGAAGAATAGACTGATGTCAGGTAATGAAGGCCATTTAAAGGTCATATCACACCGTCAGAAATGGATCTTTGTAGGTTTTTAAACAGGCGAGTAACACAGCATGGTGGTCTGTGTGGGAGACATAGATTGAGCTAGATGCAAAGTGTGGTAGAAACTAAGGGGGGGTCACCTTGCTCCTGGATCTCAGGTCCCCGGAAGAGATGTGTGATTCATACCACAGTCATAAGAGACTAATAAGTATTCATTCCCAGTGGGGGCATTGGGTTCTTGAGATCAGAGCACTTATGTCCAGAGCATCAAGGAAGGGACCTTGGATGCCTGGCAAACGGAGAATCAAGGCAAGATAGGGAAAGGGCCTGAGAGCTATTTTATCATTCAGGCTAGGTGGGGTAGATGAGCTACCCCATACCAGTGTCCACCACCCCAGGGAAGAGAATCCTTATCCTCCAAATCCAGTCGCTCTCCTTCGGCAAAGCCCTGACAATACCTTGTTTTGAGGTTCCTATTTCAGAGTCCAGACAGACCAGCCGCTTTATTAACACTATCTTTTTGCAAAGGCAAACAAGTGATTATTCCCTTTCCATAATTCACTTCTCCCTCCGCCCTAGCCCAAGCCACCATCATCTCTCACCTGGTTCTTGAAATGGCCTCCTAACTGGACTCTGTTTCCATCGGTGTCCCCATTGTATTTGTTCTTACATAGCAGTCAAGAGATGATGTTACTATTCTGCTCAAAATCTTCCAATGGCTTATTCTTTCACTCTGAAGAAAGTCAAGCTCTTAATTAAAACACTGTGTATGATGGCATGACCTGCACTCCCCCTTCTCAATCTACATACTCTTACTATTCCTCAAATATGCGAAGAAGCACTGTCCCACCTCAGGGCCAGTGTTCACCGTGCATGGCACATTCTCCCCAGACACTCTGTGGCTTCTTCTCTTACTTTACCTGGGTCTGTGCTCCACTGTCGGCTATTCTGAGAGGTCTTCCTTGACCTCATATAAAGTAGTGCCCCTCATGCCAACATGCTGGATCCCCCTTCCCCCCTGCTTTTTCTTCATAGTATTTATCACCTCCTCCACTTTTACTGTTACTTACCAACCCCTCCACCCACCCCAGCCCACTAAGTATGTAAGCTTCAGGAGAGGAAAGGATTTTGGTTCACAGCTATATCCCAAGCACCAAGAACAGTGTCTGGTACTTAGGAGATGCTCAGTATTTGTTAAGTGAATGAGTGAGTTAAACTCTTGACTTTTAGAAACCTCGTACCAGCTTCTTACTCCTCAGTCTCTTCAGACATATGGTGCCAGATCAACACTTTGATACGATTCTCAGAAGTATGGGGAGCTAGTAGCTAATCTTTATTGGGCAAGCCAGACACACTGCTAGGAAGTTTACATGATTTTTCTCATTTGACCCTTACAATATAAGGAAGCGAATACTAGTATTCTCATTTTATTGATGGGGAATTGATACACAGACAGGTTACACAATTTGCTAATATGTGGTATAGCTGTGACTGGCACTCAAGCAGCCTGACTAAATCTGTGCTCTTAGCCACAAAGTTTGGGTGGCAGCAGCTTCTGTGAAGCTTTGGACCAACTGCAGCAGGCTGGATGGACCTAGACAGATGAAGACAAGAAGACGGAAGAGGGCATAGCAATGATAGCCCAAGGGAGAGAGAATTTTGAAAAAGTGTTTATCCCCTCATATTTTAAGTTGGTATCTAAAAGTTTTCATCATTAAATAGTTGCAACAGATGTACATTCTGGAAGTTATAAATAATGACAATTTAAGATAAAACTGTAAAATTACTTTTTATAATGTATCCAACAGCATTTACATTACAACTGAATAACCACTATCCATTTAAAATTACACAAATAAGCTCTTTAACATTTGTTAATTCTACATTTTCTTTCATCATATCTAATTTACATTTATATTCCACTTCCCCATTAAATGTTATCCAAATGTAACTTGTTAGAAAAACCTTTAATTGATCACTTTGAGATAAAAAAATGTATGTATTAAAGTAGAATTTAAAAATTTTTCCTGTAATTGTATGGGTCTATGTATTAGAAAGAATTCTTTGAATTGACTAATCATTATAATTATCATTACAATTAATGATTAAAAATCTGTGCAAAATAATGTAATTCTAAATTTTAATAATACAGAAACATAAAATTCTACTGGAAATGCATTTCTCAATGAGATGGGTGGGGCTTCCCCACAAAATAATTCATGTATCTGAATGACTATTTATTACTGATAGGTTAATTTTTTGTTTTCATAGATACAGTGCTAAGAAATATTACACATATTCAGGGAAATGCTAGTTTTCTTATAGGAATGTCAATCAACTCTTTGATTTCCTTCTGAGTTATATGCCAAAAGTCAAATAATGTTCGTTCATTAGCTGACAGTTCAATTAGGTCCACCACTAATTTTGTTGAAAGCAAGGAACTGGAAACAATTTGACTGGCAAAATAAATTATTAGCCTGTCATTAGAGTCCATCACTTTCTCAAGTGACTTTTAATTATATAACTAGTCTCATTTAGAAGCACTTAGGAAGAGTTGGTAAATTCAAGATATAAATTTCCACACATCTTAAGTACTACAATTTCACTGTAATTTAAGTATATTTTAGTTGCGGGTGCAGATTCAGCTCAATTCATTGTAAAGAGTAATGCAAATTAGCAACACTACTGTCAATCCAATTAACCAAGTCAGACTTACCTACAGTCAGAAAAAAATGTCACTTTTCAAGTCAAATGTGTTTAACAGGCGTCCCCGTGACACATTTCACTTCTGAATTCCAAGACTGACTCGGCACTGCGCTCTGACGCGAGTTTGTCCCTAGGTAAGGCTTTCGGTTCAGGCTGTTCTAGCCACCGCCGTCCCCGCCTCGCTCCGGCGCACCCTCAGGCAAGAGGCCGCCTTCGACTCACGTGGGGTGCAAGGGGCGAGATCTTGAATGACAATCTCCTCACTCCCGCCCATTCTCTCACATGCCTGAACTCAGAACACCCCGACACAGGCCACAATTACGACACTCACAATGCCCGGTCTCGCTGTTAACTACCCCCATAGCCTGAAGGTGCCCCAGGAGGAACAGACCACAGCCCGAACGGCAAGAGGAACGGCTTCTAGAGCCTGAGACGCCGGCTCCCTCGTTCTTCCCAGCTGCTTCAGGGCGGGCGGGAGAGGTGCCCACTCTGCCTTCGTTCCCGCTCAGCCTCACTATCAGGGGGCTTGTCCGGCCGGGGAAAATACGGCTCAGGCCACAGCGCAGCCGGGCGAGCCCCGATGGGAAGAGATGCAAGAGCGGATCTGGAAGCTAGAAAGAGGCCCCCGGCTCAGCAGGGAAGCCGGAACCCTCGGCAGGCACCCGGCGAGGACGGGGGGAAAGAATGTTGGCGTGACGCAGCTCGGCAAGACCAGTTCCGGCGCGGGAGCCGCGGTTGGCGGATGCCGGGGTGCGGCGCCCGGGCTTCAGGTCTCCTCGGGCCGGAAGTGAAGAAGGCGGGAATGGTCCTTTCCGGCCGAAACTAGGCGGCCCTAAGGGGCGTCGGCACGGGGAAGAGTGTTTGTGTAACACTGTTGGCTGCGCGCAGCGGGTGGGATGGGGGCGGGTGTCGGTGCTGGGGATCTCGGAAGGGACGGAAATAGCTGTGACACTGCCCGGCCGGTCTGAGGGGACTGTGTTGGTGTGGCACCGTTGCTCGCTCAGGGAGCCGGCGGAACCAGGTGGCCATGGGGATGTGGGCATCGCTGGACCCGCTGTGGGAGATGCCGGCCGAGAAGCGTATCTTTGGGGCCGTGCTGCTCTTCTCCTGGGCTGTGTATCTCTGGGAGACCTTCCTGGCCCAGCGGCAGGTGAGCTAGGCAGCGCCCATCTAACCGCGACACTCGGCCAGTTCTCGGCCAGCCAGGCTCTCGACCCCAAGTTCCTGGGTGAGTGCTGCGGCCCCAGCACCCGCCTCGACCCGGTGCGTCCCCACTGAGCCTCCTAATTTGGCCTGAAGGTGGGATTGGCGGTGAGAGGATCCGGTGCCTCAGGGACATTTTCCGCAACGTGATCGTGGGACTGAGGCGGATTAGGCCTGGTGAAAGGGAAAGCAGGCTACCGCCTCGTCACACTTTAGCTCTTACGCCCGCCCCACAGCTTCCTTAAGATCCCCAGATTTATCTTTTTTTTTATGTTTGGCAGCGACCCATAAACCTTCAAAGGGACGATACTAACATTTTAGAATCACAGCTTCCTCATGACTTTTGTATAATCATGCTCAACCACAGAACCAGGAAACCATTTTCTGAAAATAAAGATTTCTTAAGCCTTCCAAGAACCTGAGCTCTTTTTCCTTAAAAAAAAAAAAAAAAAAATTATGTTGGTTTTGCCCAAAGAACAATTTTTTTTCTTGTTTTTTTCAAAAGCGTCTTTATTTTTGTTTAAACAATTAAGACAGTAAAGTAGAAATGAAAGTTACTTAGCAATTCCCCAGAGATGACCATAACAGCTTTATGTATTAGAGATCTGAACTTTTAAATGAGATATATTTTTAACTTGAATTGACTGCTTTATTGCCATCTCTCATTGCTGGTTTGCTTTACCTGCGTTCTTCTGTGTTGTCGCTGAATTATGTCAGCCATGATGGTTATGAAAACCTTTCTATTTTTAACTGCTAGAACTCTTTTTCTTGAGCATTACAGTCTTTTTCTCTGCAAATTTCTTCTCTCATTTTACATTCTGCATGAATCATTAAATTGAAATTTTTAATTTTCCTATCTTTCTGTCAGTGTTTGGGTTATATCTTGATCTCTTCTTTTAATCCAGAAAATTCCAAGAGGTGTTAAGATGAATAGCATTAGTTTCTCTGACCTAGTAGCTCTCCGAATAGCTTCATTAGTACAGAATCTTTTAGGCCTAGAGAAGATACTTTGCATAAAGTAAACACACAATATATAGTATCTAAATTGGGGATAGGGTATTGAACATCTCTTTGTCTTACTTTAATAATAAGCCTAGTTACAGGAACTACTTTTCTATAGTGCCTTTACTCAGTTATGCTTTCATGTAATGCCTTTCAGTGAGGGTTTGGTAAGGTGCACAACAATAAATAGAGAAGCCATTTGTTGTAAAACCATTGTAGAAGATGCTGCCCATTATGTTGTGTGGTATCTGTTCCCTGTATTATGTCCCATGGGCTGAAAGTACCTTTTAGAATTTGGTATAATGAGAAAGTTTTTCTTTCTTGAGACCTGATATGTTTCTGTTATTTCTCAAATCTCTCTTAGTTTAGCTTCTAGGACCAAATTTAATTACTAGCCACAATATCTGTTAATACTCATGGTTAGCATATTTGCTTCCTTCTCCTTTGCATAATTTGTTTTCTGTATCAAAGGATGTATGTTATACCTGAAATGAGTGGTACCCTTCGTGATGTTACAATTTTGGTTTACATATGCAACTGAAGTGTGATTACAACCCTGATTTTAATCTTACCTAGTTATCTAGCCTCTGATTCTCTTTTTCTTTTACTTTCCTGCATCAGTTGTTTTAGTAGACAGTGTGTTTGATCAAATGCAGTATTTGTGTCTGTATAAAGCAAATTCAACAGGTTTAAGTGACACGTTAATGCTATAAACCATTTAGTGTTTGATCATAAATAACTTGTAATAAATAATGAGTTAACTTCACTGTTTAAAGTGTTTTCTTAAAAATATTTCAGAGACGGATATATAAAACAACTACTCATGTACCACTGGAGTTAGGACAGATCATGGATTCAGAAACGTTTGAGAAATCTCGACTGTATCAGCTGGATAAAAGTACCTTCAGCTTCTGGTCAGGACTCTATTCAGAGATTGAAGGCACTGTGAGTAATTTACTTCTTGAAGAGACAGTCTATCAAATTGTTTAATACTTTGTAATGTTTGTTTTCCTTTTTATATATTTATAATATAAAAGAGGGTACCACACCTACAAATCCCAGATGCTTTCCTGACCCTTGTTATTGATAGAATAGGTGTGGAGCAAAAGAAGCAGAAATATAACTGTTTAGTTATGATCTCACTTATATGTGGAATCTAGTGAACAAAATAAACTAACAAACAATAGAAACAGACTCATAGATACAGAGAATAGACTGACAGCTGTCAAAGGGGAGAAGGGTTGGGGCAGTGGGTGAAAAAGGTGAAGGGATTAAGCAAAAACCCCCCACAAAACACAAAAAAACTCATAGCCCTCGCTGGTGTGGCTCAGTTGGTTGGGTGTCATCCTTTGCACCAAAAGGTTGCTGGTTCAATTCCCTTTCAGGACATGCCAGGGTTGCAGGCTTGATCCCCTGTAGTGCAGGAGGCAGGCTGTTGCTGTTTCACTCTTACATCAATGTTTCTCTCTCTCCCTCTCTAAAAAAAACAAACAAAAAAAAGTATTTAAAAAAAAAACAACGAAAGAAAAACCTCATAGACACAGACAATGATATGGTGATTACCAGAGGGAAAGGGGGTTGGAGGGAGGTAAAAGCGGGTAAAGGGATAGTGATGGAAGGAGACTTGACTTGGGGTGGGGAACTCACAATACAATATACAGATGATGTATTCTAGAATTGTACACCTGAAACCTATATAATTTTATTAACCAATATCACCCCAGTAAATCCAGTAAAAATTTTTTTAAAATTCTGGGAAAAAAGTTGTAGAATATGGTAACTGTTGCCCTGAGGGCAGGTGGGAAAAAGCACCTTATGCTGTAAGTTATTCTTGTAGCAGCCCTTACTTGTCTTCATGCCTCCAAACTGCAATCTCTTCTTCCACACTGCAGCCAAGGGAATTCTGCAGAACAGTTGCGGTCATGTCATTTTCCTGTCGGGTGAAGTCCAGATTTCTTTGCATGGTTTATGAGGTCCTTTTTGCTTACTTGAGCCTAATGTTTTTGTTTCTTCCTCCAAAGTTTTTCCTTCTGTATTGTGCTCATACCCAACTTGGTTTCCTATGACTTTGAATCTTTTTACGTGCAGTATCTCTGTCTGGGGTGCCCTTCCTCTCCCTCTTCAATGCCACTCTCTCACTAGAGGCTGATTAATCCCTACTGTCCCATTAGGATCCAGCAGAGACATCGTCGAAGCGAAGTTTAGTTACTGAGATATTAAAGATTAATAGTAAAACTTGATGCCTTCTGCCCTGGCCAGCATTGCTCAGTGGTTAGAGCATCAGCCTGTCGCAGGTTCGATTCCCGGTCAAGGGCACGTACCTGGGTTGCAGGTTCAGTACCCCACCCTGGTCTGGGTGCATGCAGGAGGCAGCCAATTGATTTGTCTCTCTCACATTGATGTTTCTCTCTCCCCCTCCTCTCTTCCCTTCTCTGAAAATCAGTGGAAAAAATATCCTCAGGTAAGGATCTAAAAAAAAAGAAAAATTGCTGCCTTCCAATCAAGCCAGGAAAGCTAGCATTATTGTGGATTATATTTGACTCTGGTTAATTAATCTGAAACATATTTCCTGATAGGGACAGGGCCTAAGTAGGAAATCAGCCTTCAGAGAGAGATGGAAGTAAAGGTGGGAAATTAAGACACTGTCATCTTTTCTTTTCTGCTATTGATGTTAGATAGAGAGGAAGGGGCGGGGGGGGACACATTGATTTGTTGTTCCACTTATTTATGCATTCAGTGGTTGATTCTTGTATGTGCCCTGACTGGGGATAGAACTGCATCCTTGGCATATGGGGACGTCGCTCTAACCAACTGAACTACTCAGCCAGGGCTGACAGTGTCATCTTTCTTCATTGATGTTTGATTCTTTGAAGGTCTTTGACTTACTCCCACAGGGCCATATAAAATGACAGGAAAAATATTTTCAGTCTCCTTGGTTGTCATTAGTAAACAGTTCCCGGGAAAGACGGGCAATAGCTTGGTTGTTACAGTTGGTGACTGTGGGAGTGGTTCAGTTTGTTCTAGGAGATGATAGAGGTAGGGAGAATACAACTGTAGAATGAGAGCTCTGTAATTGCTGTGGCTCAGACTAGAAGCAGTACTGATGGGTAAAAGCTGGGAACATTAATAGTCATCGTTATAATATTTGTAGTGGTAGTGATTTTCACTTCATATATTGTTTTTACATTTATTGTTTTGTTTGATGTTTACAGCAGTGCTCTGAGGTACAAAGTATAGGCATTATCATTCCCTTTTTATGGGTGAGAAAGGGAAGGCTCAGAGAAATTAAATGGCTTGCCCATTTAATGGCCAGGTGACACTAATAAATGGGAGAATGGATTTCGAACTCTGCTCTTCTGAGTCTTTAAAATTACATTGAAGAAACCATTCTTGAAACTCTGGGACCATGGCATGAATGTGCTCTTTCTCCTTGGGGAATTAGCAGCTACGTTTACTATTAGGTAGGAAGCATTCTGTGTTACTTTGAAATCCTGTTCTGTTTGAAAACAAGTTCATAAATTTCTGTTTTGTGTTGATTAAAATCAATAGGCTTATATGCTTTGGTCACAAAGAACAAGTACAAAGATTAATTTAGATTTTTTTTTTTTGCGTTGGTACTTTTTACCTGAGGGAACTTAAGTAGAGGCCTTGTGTGCCCACAGGGCCACTGTTCACACAGTGTGACAGCACCCAGAGAGAAAATGTCCTGCCTCTCTGAGACAGACTTTCCTGACATCTCATAGATGTCAATAAAGAGCCTTCCCAAGAAATGGAATGGCTGGGGAGTAGAGTAGGGCAGAGAAGAAAAGTTCAAGTTGTTGTGGCTTTAATTTCTGTATGTTTCTGGGTGAGTAGTTCAGCCTCCTTTAGCCTCATTTTTCTGCTCTTTAAGATGAGAAGTAGGTAGATATTAAACCATATTGCACTTGGTTTATGGCAAGGACTGAGTAAGTGAGGCAGTGTAAATGAAGCACTTGGTACAGTGCTTAACACAGCAATTACTTAGTCCTTGGGTTTCTTTGGGCAAATTACTTTAATTGAATATTAGTTGCCTCATCTGTAAAATAGAGATGACTATGCCCTTGCCCTGCCTGCTTTTCAAGACTTCAGTGAAATAATATATAAAAGCACTAGACTTGTTTTTGCTGAGATCATTAGTTCTTTTTATAGGACATCCCAGGAGCATGCTCAGGGAGATTATCAATATAGAGAAAGTTTACTGATTACTGCTTTGTTTTTCATTCCCCAGAGTATACTAAACAAGGTTGCAACAACAGTACTCAAATGCATTAATAGATACATTCAAGGTTCATATTAAAGCTACCCTTGATACTTACTTAAAAGCTGGAGTTTTAATTATAAGTGTTTCAGCCCTTCACCAAAAGCATTATAAATCCTTGATTCTGTATTATTTATTAGGATCGAGCCTAGGATGAAAGAATGCCAACCCAAGTCGATTAGTTTAACAAGTAGAGCATATACCATGCATTGATGCCAGACCATGTCTTTTGGGAAAACAGTGTTTATATCCATGATTGAGCTAAGGGAGTCTTTAAAGGCAGTTTATTAAAGTAGTGAAAATAGTGATTTTCAAACTTGGGTGTACATCAGACTTATCTGGAGACTGTTGGGCCCCACTTCTAGTTTCTGATTCAGTAGTTCTGGGGTGGAGCCTGAGAATTTGCATTTCTAACACATTTCCAGGTGATGTTGCTGTCCAGAGATCATATCTGAGACCCCTGGTATTAAACCAACCCAGCATACTAGTAAAAATCTAAAAGATGGGTAGCGTCAAATGTGAGTTAGATCGTGGGGAAACAGAAACACTCAGGTACTGCTGATGGGAGCATAATTTGGTATAAATACTTTAGAGAACAAGCTGATAGTACTAAATAAAGTTAAAACCAAAGGTTGATCTAAAAAATGTAGAGTGTAAAAAGCAAGTTGTGCAGTATGATGTCATTTATATACATTCTTAAAAAGCATGTATAATCCACTAAATTATTTATGGATTCATATATAAAAATGCAAAGTAGATTGGGAGGATACCCATAACTATATTATAGTGTCCCAAACCCTCAAAGCACAAAGGAATCATCTCTGAACTGGTGGGATATTGTGCTTCTAACCAAGAAGTGTGATAGATCATTGTGTTCCTAAGGCTCCACAGAAGGAAACAGTAAATTGATTCCTCTTGACAAAATGAGTTTCACAAACATAGTATCTGTTATGGGAGATCATGTTTTCTCAAATTTTAAGAGCTGCTTTCTCATTTGAATGTCCTAGTGATTTGGTGAATATCTGTGTTCACTTTATCTGCCTAAGACAAAGGGCATGCTGAGAAAGGGGCCTACATCTATGAAACCCTGACTCCTACCTCAGGATTCACCTTTTCCTTACCTGGAGAGGGCACAGAGAGCCCATTCTGTTCCAATTTGGTAAGTGGACAGGACTCTCCACTTATACCAATACTAATACTTTATCTTGACTGAAGAGGCGATTTCTTTTTAAGGGAAAGCCAGTTATGGAGCTAAAAAGTCTGGTTCAACTTCCATTTCTTTCTTTCTTTTTTTCAGTCCTCACCCAAAGATATTTTTTCGGTTGCTTTTCAAAGAGAATGGAAGGGGGAGGGGGAACATCAGTGTGAGAGAGACATTGATTGGTTTCCTTCTGCATGCACCCCGACCAGAGCTGGGGATCAAGCCTGCTACCCAGATGTGTGCCCTTGGTCGGAATCAAACCCAGGATCCTTCAGTCTGTGGGCCAGCCATCTAACCACTGAACCAAACTGGCTAGGGCATCAACTTCCATTTCTGTCACTGGGATTTTGGACAAGTTGCTTAGCCTTTCTAATCTTATTTCCTGATTCAGAAAGCCTCTGTTAGTGTCTTTTGGCAAAAGTTCTTTTTCTTTAAACAGCTTTATTGAGATGTAATTCACATATCATATCACTTATCTGTATAAAATGTACAGGCAAAAATCTTTTAACAGTATAAATTTAGTATCTCAGTTGGATTGTATTCATTTAAATGCATATTTTATCCTAAATGAGATAGGTCCTTTTTTCTCTCTAACATGATAGTTTCTAGTACTGCTCAAGTGTGAACAAAGTATGCTTTGTTTTATAGCTTATTCTTCTCTTTGGAGGAATCCCTTATCTCTGGAGACTTTCTGGACGATTCTGTGGCTATGCTGGCTTTGGACCAGAATATGAGGTATGTACACCTTCTTCTTAGCTTCCTTGGCTCCGAGATGATACCTGTCCTTTGTATGCACATTTTGTTGGTGATCCTGTCATTTAGTCTCAGATACAAGGGAGCTGGGTAATGTAGTCTCTGGTTTGGTAGCTGCTTCTCAGGAATAACTCTCTGCAGTGAATGGGAAAGCATGCATTTTGTTGAACCCATACTAAGCAGGTACTTCAAACAAAGACAGTGTGTATCTCACAGTCTCCATTGAGCTGCTTGTTGGCTACCCACTCTTCCAGGAATTCCAGTTTAAGGCAAAGCCTGAGACTTCCCACCTGTAAGGATGTTGGGACACTGCATCCTGACTTCCCCTTAGAAATTGCCAAGTCTGTTCCCTTCTTCCTGATTCCTTTTTGAAATGGTGGATCTCTTCTACATATATAGTTTCCTTGGGCTTTAATTCAGCTTATCTGAATTAAAGTTGTCCCTTTTCTGTATACCTTTTTCTAAAGCAGCCCGCTTCTTTTAAGACCCCCTTCTTCTGATGATGTCTCTATATCTTTACGGACTCTTGCTCCTGACCTGTCATTTGTAGTATTGCAGTTTACTTGCATAGTCTCTGCATTGTTTCAAAAAAGTTTTAAGGTGGTTTTATGTAATCACTGTGACTGGCTCCTTATTCACTTCTCACCTTAAATGTCACTTTCTCAGAGGCTTTCTTTGACCACTCCATCTAAAATAGAATTCACCTGCCACTTTGGTGAAGCGTGTCACCTTACTTAGGTATTTAACACTATGTGCAGTTATATCTCCCTGACAAGAATTTTAAGCTCTAAGGGGACAGAGACCTTATGTATACAGGGGTTGGCAAAAGTATGTTTACAGTTTTGAGTACATGAAATAGTTTATTCTTATATTCTTATTTATTAATTATTGTATTATTTATTTGTATTACAAGTGTAAACCTACTTTTTCCCACTGCTGTATTCTTCATTGCTATGTCACTAGTGTGTATAACAATGCCAGTCACAGAGTAGGTATTCCATAAATATGTGTTGAATGAATGGACACAATCTGTATACATATATGCATTAAAATATTCCTTACCTTAATGGGACATATTTTATATAAGGTTCTGAGATATTATTTTTCCATTTAACAATGTTTTAGAGATCTCTTCCTGTCTATTTATATAGATCATTGTTGTGTTTATAATTTTTTTAAATCTTCACGCAAGGGGAGAGAGAGAGAGAAACATTGATGGGTCAGCTCTATCGCACGCCCCAACCAGGGATTGAAGCCAAAACCCAGGCACGTGCCCTGACTGGGAATTGAACCCTCAACCTTTTGGTGCATGGGACGACGCTCCAATGAACTGAGCCACCGGGCAAGGGCGATCTTTGTTCTCTTTAATGGCTATGTGGTATTGATTGTCCTTTCTTTGCACAGTTCTAGTACACACAAATTTCAGTTGCACAGTTTAGTTAAATAACACTAGTCCATTAACAACAGAGTTCAAATTTCAGTTAACCTAGTATATTATATGAGTGATTGCATAAAGTACAAACTTCCCTGCTAGCTCTTCGGTCCACAAATCACTTGCAAATAACACATGCTCATAGTCATCAGTGACTATTACCTCCCTTTTTCAAAGTGTGTCAGTGATTGGTCACTGCACATCTGTTATTCAGTTATTCAGAGTGAGTGTTGTGTTGTCTCCTGGTCTTCCAGCTGTATACCCACCTGACATTTACAAAAATGGATAACTGAAAGGGAATTGGCCAAGAAAGATGAAAGTGTAGCAAAGAAATGAAAAATGATAACATGAAAGTGAAATTCAAATCTCACGTGTGTGGAGTTATAGAAGAAATAGCTGACCCTGGGAATGCTGACCCTGCTGCCATTAGAGAGATTTAGATCTGCAGCCAGAGGAACTCAGTGAAGGTGACCTTTTTGATATAAATGAGGAAAGTGGTTTTGACGAAAAAGATGAAGATGTCCCAGAGGTAGTGTTACTGGCAAAAACTCTCACTTTAAAGGACCTCAAAGATATTTCTTGCCATTGAAAACTCAAAGAGTAAAATGTTCCAAGCTGATGTAAACTTTGAGACGAGTATGACAATTCACCAAGGCAGAGAAAAGGTGCTGTCTCCATATTATAAGTTGTACAGTGAGAAAGTGAGCATTGTTCAAACTCCTCTTAAGTTTTTTACAAAAAAATAAGACACTAATTCTTCATGTTTCTAATGATTTAAATTATAGCATACTAAATGAATGTTAGTTTTCTCATTCCATATCCTTACATATTTAGAACTGACAGTAGAAGATAGACAAAAATTTTAAAGCTCACAGAACAATCATTTTTTATATGATTAAGATATGTTGATAAACTAGGGAGAATGGGGGATGTTTCAGAAGATTAGAGATGAGCAAATGTGTTGATTTTCAAATCTTTAAAATGCCTATTTGACTTCAGGTAACTTTCACATAGTGCCTGTGTAATAAAAGAGGAATTGTCTTATTGCCTCCTTCTCTAGCAAGTAGACTTTGAGGGTGCAGATGATGTTCCAGACCTTGTATTACCCATTGAATCAAACACATTGCTTGAGATGTAGGAAGTACGCAGCAATTACTCATCGATTTGTTCACTAATAATTCATTTTAAGAATGAATTAATATTGCACTATAAAAACTGCCAGTTTTTTCCTTCTTGTGTTTAGATCACTCAGTCTTTGGTGTTTCTGCTGATGGCTACACTTTTCAGTGCATTGACCGGTTTGCCATGGAGTCTTTATAATACTTTTGTGATAGAAGAAAAACATGGTTTCAATCAACAGGTATAATAGAGAATGCAAATGTTCTCTTTTATTTATTTATTTTTATTTTTTAAATATATCTTTATTGATTTCAGAGAGAGGAAGGGAGAGAGAGTTGAAACATCAGCGATGAGAGAGTCATCATTGATCGGCTGCCTCCTGTAGGCCCTCGACTGGGGACCAAGCCTGTAGCCTGGGCGGGCGTGTGCCCTGACGGAACCAAACCTCGATCTCCTGCATCCTAGGTTGATGCTCCACTGCTGAGCCACGCCCGGCCAGGCAAATGTTCTCTTTTAAATATGAAGACCTTTTATGATCATAATTTGCTGTTTTAGAGGATGAATTAATTGAGAAAAAAGGAACTGCATATGGTAAAGATCATAGTTAAAGTCTTGCCATAAAATCTTCTAGCACTAACATCTAAGGATTTTCAGCTAATAACATTTAAATGAGTACTTTAAACTGTAAGATGTGAGACATTTACTTATTGTCTTAGGTTACCTAGTGTCATATAATATAGTCTCACTGCCTTTTAATTTTTTTAATTGCTTTAATAATGTATCCTTTGTATTCATCAATTAGTTATTTGAAAAGCAGTTTCTCAGTTTCTTGTGGTGATGTTTTCTTTTTTCAGACTTTGGGGTTCTTCATGAAAGATGCAATCAAAAAGTTTATTGTGACTCAGTGCATTTTATTGCCTGTGTCTTCACTTCTACTTTACATTATTAAAATTGGGGGTGACTATTTTTTTATTTACGCCTGGCTGTTCACATTAGTTGTTTCTCTGGTGAGTAAAATCTTTTGTTTCATTTTCTTTTACAGAGTTCCTTGGTGCGATAAGTATGGTTTAGTCTTCATTAGCATGTAAACAGTTCTTAAAAAGCAGACGAAATATACATAAATTCCCCTGTTGGTTTCTGCTTTTGGTTATAAAAATAGGAGAATTGACTGACAGATTTTCTTCTCCTTATGTTGACTTTTACAGATCCTAGAAGCTAGTTGTTACTTTTAATGATCCAGTTGTCAGGCAATTTTGGGCTATGCATTTATGAGTTGCCACCAGAATGGATGACACAGTTTGGTAATTTAATGACTCTTGACTGAGCTCCATTGCCTAAAAATCATGGCTGTTGTGAAGAGAATAGATTGAAGAGGGACAAGAAGAAGAAAGCATAAACGGACCTGGTTTTTCTTTTCCTTCTCCCCTGCTTTTTCCTCCTCCTTCCTCCCCTCCCCTCTCCCTTCCCTGGGGCCTTTCCTGTCCCTTACCTTCCTTCCTGCCTTCCCCACTTCTCTCTCCTCTCTCCCTCCCCCTCCATTTTCTCTTACCCCTCTTCACTTCCCCCGCTCACATCTTCTTTTCCTCTTCTCCTCCCACATTCTAAACTGTTTCACAACACAAACACGACAACACAATGAAAATTGTCTGTTGACAGCCCCTAGAAAATATCATCTGTCATCTCTTAACTCCACTGATGAGGAGGTTTATTTTACTCTGAATTACCGTGATGCTCATTGCTTCACTTCCTACTGGTGGGATCAAGATCAGAAAATGGGCACTAGTTGGATGTACAAATATCTGTTGTATGGCAAACAAAGTGAGAGGAAATGCTTCCAAAATGCTTAAGGAAGTGCTGTTTCAACCAAGTGTACAGTTGTGAACTGCAGGTAATTAATTTTAGCAGACCAACCAAAATAACAGCACACAGTCAAGCCCTAGTAATTCTTTTTTAGCAAGACTTCAGGTCTGTCATGATTACTTTAAAAGGCAGAATTCCAACTTATTATGAGCTTATGAAGTATCAGAAATCCCCAAGATAGTTTTGAATGGGCCATTCGACTTTTCAGTTATTACCCCCTAGAGACTACTCATTTTGATTTAATTCATCAGACAGATTGAGCACTTACTGTCCGGTATGGTTTGGGGCTGGGAATTCCAGAGCAAGTAAGATCCGTCCCTGTTCTCAAGGCCAGGATCACATAGTTGTTTTAATGTAATTGAATCTGTATAATGAGTAGGTTTTTTTTTTAAAGAACATATTCATAGGTTGTTCTGACATTTACTTTTCAGGTTCTTGTCACAATCTATGCTGATTATATTGCCCCTTTATTTGACAAATTCACACCTCTACCTGAGGGAAAGCTTAAACAAGAAATTGAAATAATGGCAAAGAGTATTGACTTTCCTTTGACTAAGGTGTATGTTGTTGAAGGTAAGGCTACTGGGGGTAAGAAGATTTCATTTGAGTGGTTTGTTTTATTTGAGAACTTTATTCATAAAACTTTAATAAATGAACAAATCAGTTTTTTAAAAATTTTGTTATCTAAAGGTTAGGATTTTACATTTTGTTTTTTTAAGATTTATAGGAATTGATGGTATAGTACAGGGATAGAAACTGGTGGCCTGATGCCAAATCCTGCTCTTGCCTGAAGCTATGTTTGGTTGGTTTTACAATATTGTTTTTAGTTTTGGGCCAAGGCCTTTATCACTCCGTGTTATATCATATATATTAGACTGACTTACGTACTTTTGTTACCTGCCTGGCTCCTAGGAATTAAGTAGGACTCCTGCAGAGTCAAATTCCACTTAACACTAGTTTCAGGCTCATAAACAAAACTATTGTTATTGGGTTTGTCTCTTTCAACAAAACTTCCAGTGTTCTGGAGGACTCTGGTTGTGAAAACCTGCAGATTACCAAAAACTGTACTACCATTGGGTAGAGGTAAGCTACCTATTAGCTTACGTAAGACTACTAAAGTCTTAAGGAAGCTTACAGAGATGTAGAGTAAAACCGTTGTGTGGTACCATGACTTTAAGAATCTGTGAATTAAAATCCATGTAAGTGAACGAGACTGGTTTTGCCTCTGTAACTTACCAGCTATGGAATCTTGAATGGATCACTTCACCCTTCTAGGTTGCAGTTTTGCTTCATCTAAACCACAGTTTGGCAAACACTTTCTATAATACCATAGATAGTAAATATTTTAGGCTTTGCAGGCCATATGCTCTTTGTCACAGTTATTCAGCTCTGCCATTATAGTACAAAAGCAGTCATAGATAATACGTAAATAAATGAGCATGGCTGTGTTCTAATAAAACTTTATGTATGAAAAATAAGTGGCAGATTGGATTGAGCCTGCAAGCCATAGTTTGCCCATCCCTTCTCTAAACTAAAAAATCACCAATGAGAAGCAGTTCTATTGGACAAAGGAGTAGAAACAGAAGTATATAATTGTGGGGCCAGGGAAGAACAGACATGGTCACAACTGGAAAGAATGAATTAACAGCAGCTAGGAGAGTATAGAAATCTCAGACATATAGTAGCGTCTGAGGTTACACAGACCAACTAAAGGTACAACTGGAACATTTCTATGGGGAAATGGTAGGAGAATAAGCCAATTCATACTTCTTTAGTCTCTGAGATCACTACTCTTTTAGTTAATGTTAAACTAGTGGCACACTAATCAGTACAGCAGAATAGTTTCTGAGGGTCTTTAACTGAAGGGGCAACTTAAGTTGCTGATCACTTAAGTTATAATCAGATAACATGAAATGACAGCTAATGATATGACAACAGTTATTTGATAGGTGTGTGATGCATGATTTTAGATGAAATAGGCAAGGCTTTATGTAGGGTTATAATATAAGCTGAGACTACAGAAAATCAAGATTTGAGTAGGTGGAAGGGTGGAATTTCAGAGGTTAGGCTATGGAGTCAATAGTCTTGGGTTTGAATCCTAGCTCTATCACAATTACCTATGTGACTTTGGGCAACTTAACTTTATCAAACAGAAGTTTACTCATTGGTGATGTGTGCTTTTATTGTTGTTAATAATGGTAACAGTCCTCAAAAATATTTTGAATGAATGAATGTTACTAACAATAACAACACATTACAGATTTGTTAATTAATAGGAATATTTTAGTGAGAAACTAAGATTCCTGCTCTCAGAATATATCAGATAGCATGTGCAGTGCAGAGAGTTAAACTAGTGTGATGTGATAAAGAATGACTGAGTAGATCCTTTAGAGTGGGTCAGCAGGCAAGACCTCTCTGAGCAAATGAATTTAAGCTGAGAGAAGGAAGGAGCCGTGCATGCTGAGATCAATAGAAAGACCTTCCAGAGCTTTGAATCTTTAGGAAACAGAAAAAAGTCCATTTTGATTGCCACATAGCAGGAGAGTGTTAGGACATGAAATCTGAGACATAGGCAAGAATCAGACCAGGAAGACCTTTGTAAATCAGGCGAAGGAGCTTGGAATTTAAGTTCAGGGGTAAAAGCCATTGATGGTTTTAGGCAGGAAAGTGGCATAGCCTGGTTTGTCTTTTTAAAATGTCTTGGTTTGCTATGTGGAGAATAGATTGTAGGGGTGGTAAGCATAGAAGCAGGGAGAGCAGTTAGGGGTTTGTTGTAGTAATTCAGGTAGGAGATAGTGGTAGCTTAGACTAGGGCAGTGGTGATTGATGGAGAGAAGTGGATGCACTTTGCTAATAGATTGCATGGAAAGGAATAAGGGGGAAGGGGAGACATCAAGGATAATGACCTAGATTTTTAGCCTCAGTCGTGGGGTAAATGATAGTTTACTGAGATGGAAAAACTGGGAGACAGCAGGTTTATGTGAAATTAAGTTGGATGTGTTGCACATTGAGGTAACTATTGAACCTTGAATTAGAGTTCTGCAAGCAACAGTTAGTAGCAAACAAGCAGGAGAAAACAACTGTGGCTGATTTAAGCAGAAAAAAATTGCTTATTGAAACAATATTTGATCGCTTATAGAATCACCAGTAAAGTTAAGTTTACCAAGCTTGGAAAATGGGCTGTTCCATAGGGAGACAGGGAACTCAGAATTTCACGGCAGAACCAGTCTGGGAGGACACTGCTGTTGCCTCCAGTTGGATTCAGCAGTTTGTACCCCTAACATCTCTGCTACTAGCACCTACAGAATTAGTTCCTCACTGCCCTGCTTCTTTGCTAATTAGCTAACTATTCATAGTCCCCAGTGGGTGCATTTGATTGAGCCAGGGCACAGGGCTAGCTGCCAGGAATGCTGGGGAAGCAAATATCTGGCTTTTTAGATTTCTTAAATGAGAAGCCGTCCCTCACAAGATTTACATGGTGTGAATTCCCTAAACTCTGAAAGGAGATTCCAATCCTGGGCAGGGGAAAAAACCACACCTAAGAATATAAGCAACAAATATGCACTATAAACATCCATGTGGAGATGTAGAGATATTAAATAGGCATCTGTGTGTATGAGTTTGGAGCTCTAGGGAGAAGTCAGGGCAGGAAAATTGATATGTAAGTATCTGGCACATAGGTGGTGTTTAATGCCATGGATGAGGGCACTTAGAGAAGAGCGGGGCTCAGGTCAGAGTCAGCAAGAAAGGAAGAGCCAGCATTGGAAACTGAGAAGGAGAGACCATTGAGGTAGGAAGGAAAACAGGAGAAAATGCTGTTTCTTTTGTGACAGGAAAAGGAAGTGTTTTTAAGGAGGAAGCAGTCAACTGCTGCAAATGCTGCTGAGAGGTTAAGATCAAACATCATAAACAAAAATGGTACAGGTGGCAATACCTTATATTTGCATAGAACATGTTGATTTTCAGAGTTCTCAAATACATTGTTTCATGCCTCAAGTGGCATTAGCCATTCAGTACACAAGTGTTATTGAATATATACACATGCCAGGCACAGGGACACAAAAAGCTTATGGTCTGGTGCAGGGACTCTTAAACTTTATTGAGTAACTATAAGTATTCCCTGGAGAGTTTGTCAAAAGACAGACTGCTGGGCTCCATTCCCAGAGGTTCTGACCTCATAGGTGTTTCTAGTGTGTACTTCTAACAAGTGCCCTGGGGTGATGTTGATGTAGGTGTTCCTTCGAGCACACTTTGAGATACGTGGACCAGTGGGAGATATTAAAATGTTAATTTTTTATTTATATGCTTACAGTATGCCTACTTCCATAAAGAACTTCAGGCAATAAATAATTTCTAAGAAATATTTTAAATTAATTTTTTAAAAAACTCAGAATCAGAGAAGACAGAAATGAGAAGTATAAGACCTCAGAATGGTATGCAACTTTTCAGATCCTATGGTCCTATAGTATTGGCAAAATTGGATCACATATTTGGCAATTAAACAAAAACTGAAAAATAAGCAAGTAAATGCCACTATTTATCAAAGCCTTACTATATTCTAAACATTCTGGCAAACATACGGCTATATGCATAAACTATACTGTATTCTAAATATACAGCTAAACATGCTTTACATTAGAAATATGAGTAGATACAAACTTCACATTTTCTGTGAGAGATCTCAAATTCTCAAGAGAAACATGTTTTATAATTTCTTTTTTTAAAAGCATATAAATAATAGTAGTAGTTTATATGGATCAGGCAGTATACTAATTGATGTACTTAGAATTTCTCATGTAACGGTTTTTCTAATCCAATAACATAGATATTAACTTGCATCATAAACAGGAAAATAATTAAATTTAAGAAAGTTTCTTACATTTACACAGCTAATACATGGCAGAACCAAGATTTGAACCCAAAGTCTACTCTTAACCACTAAATTCACTGCACGCTATAGAACATTTAGAAAATAAAAAATATACATAAAGAAGAAAATAAAAATCAACTATAGTTCAGCTACTGTTAGCCACTGTTAAAAATTTAGGTATGTTTTTTCCAGTCTTGTAAAAAATAGCTTTAATTATTTCCTGAGTAGAGAAGTATGTATATTTACTCTAAAAGCCTTGGAAAAGGGAGAAGTACAAAGGAGGGAACAAAAATCCATAGTTCCAAAGCCAGTGATAAACACTGCAGTATTTTTTTTAACACTTCAGTATTTTGATATATTTCTTAGTAGGCTTTTGTTTTATGCTTTCCTATTTACATGTACTTTTTTTTTCTTCGTGACAATAATGGAACCTTATATACTTAAAGTTTTATATCCTCAGTATATTGGTGAGCTTTTTCCTATCTTCCTAACATTCTTCAAAAGTATAATTTTGGGGACTGCTTAAAATTCCATCTCATAGCTTTACTATAACTTAATCATTTCACTGCTGCTGGATATTCAGGCTTTCCTTATTTACTTATTGCTCTACAGCCCTGATGAGCATAAGTCTTTGCTGGCAAGACTGCAGGTAAACAGACACGCTCCACTGCTGGTGGTGATTTATGTTGAAACAGTTTTCTTCAGGTATTAAACAATTTGAAAATGTTAATGTCCTTGACAGAAATTCAATTCTAGGCGTCTCTCCAAAGGACCCCAGACTTTTTAATTATTTCCCATGCTTTGAACTGTCTTTTCCTTAGGATCTAAACGCTCTTCCCACAGCAATGCTTATTTTTATGGCTTCTTCAAGAACAAGCGAATAGTTTTATTTGACACCCTACTAGAAGAGTATTCTGTACTAAACAAAGACACCCAGGAGGATTCTGGCATGGAACCCCGCAATGATGGAGAAGGGGACAGCGAAGAAATAAAAGCTAAAGTTAAAGTGAGTTCTTCTTTTCCTAAGAGACTTGGGTTTAGTTTTTATAAACAATTCTTGTGACAACTAGAAAATATCATCAATTTCTATGTGAGTTTTGAATTCAGGGAGACTATCAAATACAAACACCATGGCGCCTTTATAATTCTGGTATTTGGGAGAGATCATCACTATTATTACACGCTAACTACCTTGCAAGCTTTTGCAGAATGTACATGTTAAAATTGGAAGCATAAGATAGGAAAATTTTTATGATTATAAGCTATCTTTAAAACAGGGACTTTATCTATATTCCTGATATGCTTATGATCAAAGAAATCCCACAGATAGGCTAAAGAGGAGATAAACATCTAATTTTTAGCTTCATTGAGACAATTATAGGCTCTGGCAATGGGAAAGGCTTGGATTCAAATCCTGGTTCTGTCATTAAGTAGCTATGTGCCCTTGGGTACATGAGGTAATTTGGTCAGTTTTCTTTTGTTTGTTTAACAAATATTTATGAAGCATATACTCTGCTGAGATACTTTGGCACTAGGAGTACAAAATTAGAGAGGCAAACCCTTGCTCTCGAGCTTATACAGTCATAGTACAATATGGTAATTACCACACTGACCCTGTGTATACTGGGTGCAGTGAGAACACAGGAAAAGTCATTTCTTAAATCTGACCTGAGAGTCAGAGAAAGCTTCTTCTGAGTCCTTTCCTGGATGAGGCCAGCTGATGCTGATTAGCAAAGTCTAAAATATCAAGGGGAAGGGGACAGTGATAAGAAATAACACAAATGTAATCAGAAGCAGCCACCAGTATTCATATGTGTGATGTGCTGTTGGCTTTGGAGTCATTTAGAGATGATTTTGGATCTGTGTAATGCTGGGCAAGTAAGTTCAGCTTTCTAAATCATTGGTTTCTTAACTAAAACATGATGCCAGCAGGGTTTCTCACCTCAGCACTGTTGACATTGGGCCAGGTAATTTTTTGTTGTGAAGATGTCTTGTGCATCATAGGATGGTTAGCAGCATACCTGGCCTTTCCCCACTAGATGCCAGCATCAGTGCCACCAGCACCCCCTTGCCACCCCAACAATTGTGACTACCAAAAATGTCTCTCGACATCCTTGGGGGTGGGGGCTTGCAGGCAGGATCACTCTGCATCGAGAGACACTGGGCTAAAGATGCCTGCCTTTTAGGGTCATAAAGATTAAATGAAATAATATACCGTGTGGGACAAAAGTAGGTTTACAGTTATGAGTGTGCAAAACACTATTTTTGTATTATTTATTAATTATTGTATTATTTTCCATATGAACAACTGTAAGCTTCGCTGCACCCTGTATGTGAAATGCCTTGTAGTTCATTTTACATATTCTAAGTACCAGAAAATAACTATTATCATTTGAGCATCTGTTTTGACCTAAAAAGATGGTCTAGTAAAGTGCCTAGCCTGCTATAAATACATAGATGGGACAAAATTCTGTAAAGTGATTAAATAGCATTGGGGGAGGCTTAACTCCTTTGATTGCATTTATTTTTGAAGTGTGGTTATCCCACTTGTTATGATATTGGAATAAGTCACCTTGGTCTGACCAAGAGTCATAGGATTTGAAGCCAGGAAAAGATCTTAAGGTCTTCTTATAGATGGGAAAACTGGAGTCCAAGAAAGGGTAACCCAGTGACAACACCGAGGAGTCATACAAGTTCAGCAAAGCAACCTACTAAGAGGTATCCACATGCAGGATGGATTACATTATAGCCAGACCTAGACATAGATAGTTGTTCACTAATTTTAAGCAGTGTAATGAAATTACTGATCTTTAGTATCTATGAGAACAGTATTCTTTGGCTTAAATTTTTCAAAAGATTGGGTAGTCCTTTGAAGCATGTTGAATGGAGTTTGAGTTATTTTCCTGGCTTCTTGAAGAGCCTGCTTTATTTCATTGATAGTACAAATATTTTAGCATCTATGTATAAGCTACAAGATGAAGATACATTAGACATTGTCCTACCCTGAAGAACCTATAGTAAAGGAGACTTACATACGAACACAAATAGCCTATCCTTTAAGGCAAGTGTGGTAAATATCCTAAGTGGTTGAAATAGTGTGGCGTTAGAAATTTAAAAATTAATGCAGATTCTAATGATCAGACAGATTTCTTAAAAAAGGATACTTGAACTAGACAGAATTCAACTTGAGGGTGGGTCTTTTCACATTAAAGACATGGAATTAATAAAGCTATAGAAACCAACAACAAAAAAATCACAACACATTACACAATGGCTATTCTGAGACTAATAATTGAATGGATTCTTGTAGATGGAGATAGAAAGGTATGCCAGGACCAGTTTGAAAAATACTCTTTCCTGAAGACATTGAGTGGTTATTTCCAGTGGCCTGGAAAGTTTAGATTGACTTGAGTAGAGGCCAAAGCTTGTTTTAGAAAGACTAAAATTTGGTGGCAGCATATAGGGGAGAGCAAAGATTGGAGGCAGGAGGCTTCTAGGGGCCTGTTGCATCACGATTTCCAAGACAAGCATGAAATAATAAGAGCCTGCACTAGAGTGAGAGGTCAGAATAAGTGGAAGAGTCACAGTAAAAGATGATTTAAAGTACTTGGTGATCACTGTTATAAAGAGTGAAGGAGATGGTCAAAGATGAACTCTACTCATTATTGCTTTCTGGTGTATGTCCTGCTGGTGAGATGATTTTAGGTAGTATATCAATATTGTGAATTTGCATAGCTATATATTTATTAACTTATATTAGGAAAAAGAAAACCAGCTTATTATGATTTCATGAATATTGTCATTTAGGATAAGGCTAAGTTAAAAAGTGAATTCGTTTACAGAAAGACATTAAATAATCACATAGAGAGTACACAGATGTGGGTGAAGTTTAGTAAACAGATTTATTCAGCACCTGCTACTGACCGCCTACTATGTACAGTGCAGTGGGGGGTGCAAAGATGGTTTTAAGTTTGGATGATGTAGAGAAGATGAACTGTTTCATTTTTAACACAAGTTTAAGGAAGAACACTCAAGTTACCTGGAATCCCTCCTCTTAGAGATAACTACTATGAACATTTTGAATGTTTCTATGCTGCCTATTGACATTTTAAAAGATGTCTAGGGAACGTACTCTCTGGAATTTTACCCTTTAGGAGACAAATGGAACACATAATTGGAACAACCTGTGTCAAAAGCAGTTTAAATAAAAGGAAAATTAAAGCTATATAAAAGTCGTACAGAAAAGCTGCCTTTTGTAGAAGAAAACAAGTATTTCCCCAGCAAGTGCTAGGGTTGGGTGAAAGTCTTCCTAGCTGATAAGTGTAATAGAAGTGGCACAGGCTCCACAGATGTAGGTTTGGATTTTACCCACTAACTAGCAAGATGATTTTAAGCAAGACATTTTAGTTTCTCAGCTTCCTTTCTCTCATCTCTAAAATGAAGATAATACTTTCCATCCTGCCCAGCTTGGTGTTGTGAGGATCAAATGAATCAGTGTATGAATTTTATAAAAAGGAAACTACTGTAGATAAGGAAAGATTCTGGTATTTATTTCTGTTCTTTTATATGAAATTAGTGTGGGAAGAGAAGAAAATTCAGTTCTGCCTAAGAATCTACCACAAACAAGCAAGTCTCCTTTTTCTCGAAAGTAACCCTTATTTAAGCTCTTTTCATTCCATGTCTTTGAATGTGACTCCAATGCAGTTCTGAATAGCTTCCTAAATCCAGATATCAAACCAAAGTCATGAGCCCATGCTATCTAATAGACAACTGGTTGTTTTATAAGAGTTCCTAGTTCATATTGGGAAGCAGGTAACTAGTGAAAACAGAAGGCTGTATTAATTTATATAAAATGAGGACGATGATACCTCCCTTATAGAAGTAGAAATGAAAGAACTGTATATAAAATACCTAATATTCACTGTCTGGTACGGGAGTCAATAATGACTGGAGTATCATCATCATTATTAAACAAAACAGCCATATTTTTGCTTATTACTAAAGTAATGGAAAAGTTAGAAGCCATCAATAACAAATGTTTGTGCAGTGAATATCTTTGTATGTAAATCGTCATTTGTGCCTCTTAACTTCCACCTTAGAATAGATGTCTGTTACTGGTGCATTAATTCATTGCTCCCTTTTAATGGCCGTGCCCTGAAGGTACAAGTACATATGTGTGTCTCTCAGACATTTAAAGAACTAGGTTAGTTATCTCATTCTTTTCTTTCTCTACCAAATGTACTCTCACCTATATTGTAATACTTAAGAGAAAAGGGTATAATCAATGCAAATAATATCTTGCAAATATCTTCAGTTGATCCCTTTTTCTCATTCATCTACTCAGTTTTGCTTTAAGTGGTCATTTTCCTTAAAAATGAGTAATTGGTGAAGGAGGGGAAATGTGATAGAATATCTAGAATCCAATAAATCTTGCTGCTTGTATTCCCATTAGGTTGCATTTTTCTAAACTGTATAAAGCAAAATCAATTCCATGCTCATTGGGGTTTTTTTGTACTTCACCCTTTTAAGTAGCTGGAGTTGATTTAAAAACCTTTAGCCTTCCCTTTTTAGGATATAGATTTTCTAATTGTTTGTGGCAGGATACTATATGTCACCAGTAGATCAAGCTTGTTTATTTTATTATTTTGTTCAGATCTTTATATAATCATTGATATTTTATTTGCTTGATGTTTCAATGATTGAGAGAGGTATGTTAAATCCTCTGTTATGATAGGTTTGTCAGGTTTTCTTTACAAATCTGACAATTTTGAATTAATGTATTCTGAGGGGATAGTGTTAGGTACATAAAACTTTAGTATTAATGTATCCTGTTAAATTGAGCCTTTATCATTCTGTTGTAACCCTCATTAATAATACTTTTTACCCTGAAGTTGACTTTGATATTAATGCAGCTATCAGCTTTCTTTTGGTTAATGCTTACTAGATATCATGTAATCATTTTACTTTTCAAAAAATTGAGATAAAATTCAGTATTTGAACTATTTTAAAGTGTACAATTCGGTAGTTTTTGGCATAGTCATAATGTTGTGCAACCATCACCACTATCAACAGACTTTCAGGCTTCTACCAGGATGAGGGAGAAGCAATTGCCCTTTGATATGGAGCTGGAGAAGGAATTTGGAGCTTTAATTGATTCTCAAACATCTCTCACTCAGTTCTTATTTCAGTCACCTCCCCCTTCTCCTCCAGTTCCAGAAGTACCTGGTGCTATTAGTTCCTAAGCCCTTTGAAGACTCCAGTGTAAATGAGGCTGCTTCTCTTTTCTCCATCTGCTTTCTTGCTTGCAGAATGTTGTTGTTGTTACCTCTACTGTTTTCCCCATCCTTGTGGGTTTATATCTTTTATTTATATATATATCTTGATTATAGTTTTATTGGGGTTTTTGGAGGGAATAAAATTAGATGTGAATGTACTTCCTGCCATCTTGACTTGGAAGTCTCAGTTTTTAAAAATTTATATTTTTAAAAGGGATATATATGTCCCTTTTAAAAGAGAAGTATATAAATTTAAAATTGATTTTAATTTGTTCTTTGATTCAGAATAAGAAACAAGGGTGCAGAAATGAGGAGGTACTTGCCGTTCTAGGCCATGAACTGGGGCACTGGAAGTTGGGACACACAGTCAAAAATATCGTTATTAGCCAGGTGAGTTTGGAGTGACAATTCTCTTTTTATGGCATGGTAGTCAGATTAGAAGTATGGCAGTTATAGAAGTCATACAGTAGAGAAGTTAAGACAGACTCTGTAGCGTGGCCATCTGGCTGCCCGTCATGTCACAGCTCCCTGACTCACTACCTGTGTGACCTCAGGCAATTTTCTGAACCTGTCTGCCACCATTCCCTTACTGAATGATAATACCTCATAGGACTGATGCAGGAATTAGATGAGTTAATATATGTAAAGAGTTTGTAGTAGTAGCTGGAAAGTGGTAAGTACTATATTTATTGTTATCACCATCGTCATCACTACCTCCTGAATTACTTACCTGTAGGAGCTGTAAATTCAAAAGGAGTGAGCCTAAATAAGTTGGACATTAAAATACTTTTTTAAAAACATTTTTTTCTCATGTAAAAGTCATTATACATCCATTGAAAAGAAGTTGGGAAATGAAGTGAATATAAAGAAGAAAGAGTTCCTGAACATTCCTCCTCTGGGCTCTGAGTGAAAGAGCACTGTATCCTGTCACCTGCTAGCTGGTTGGACAGGACACTTCAATGTGGTATATGTAGCTCCCAGGACTCACGTCTGCTAAGGGAGAAGAATAGCATTTGTTCCCCATCTTCACTCCAATATGCCTTTACTAGTGTCTGGTTCAGACTTTGGATTTTTTTCTCTCTTGCATATTGTTAAAGATAGATCTGCTTTTTTCTTGGACCTTTCTAATGTCAGTGTACAGCTCCAGTGGTCCTAAAGATAATTCAAGGAAAGCCAGTTTCTTTGGAGCCTCTACGTCAAGGTCAAGTGGGAGGCCTTGTGTCTGATTACAGCCTAGTGCCAACAAAGCCAGAATCCATTCTAGCCCTTTAGCTTTTTACAGAAAGAAAATATCTCATTACTCTTGACCACTTTAAACCCATGATCATAGGAGGCTCCACTTAAGCCTGTCCTTAGAAAGAACTGTAGAGTTTATATGTTTGGAAATTTTTATTTTTCTTTCTAGAATAAAAATAAAATTACAAAAGTACTTAACACCATAGTTTCTGGCCTTACACTAACACCATTCTTAAGGTCACCCTGTGATGTTTTGTTCTACTTTTTAGTACTGCAGTGAAATCAGCTTAGCAATAACTTAGAAATTGTGTGTTCTTCTTTCTAGATGAATTCTTTCCTGTGTTTCTTCCTGTTTGCTGTATTAATTGGGCGAAAGGAGCTTTTTGCTGCATTTGGGTTTTTTGACAGCCAGCCCACTCTAATCGGACTGTTGATCATCTTCCAGTTTATTTTTTCACCTTACAACGAGGTAATGTACGATCTTTAAAATTATCTCACATTCGCCCTTTCCCGTTTCAAATCTAGAACCCTTAGGGTAGTGAAAAAATAAACAAAACTATAGTTTTAACAAGGAAGTGAAACAGTCTTAGTCCCTTGATTTACTGGCCAGTATAAAAAAGTGGCAGAAAAACCTAAGCCCAAATAAACAAATGCTTGCATACGGTTAGGGGGAAAGTGGAGAATTAGACTGTCGTAGCAAGAGCCTTGATGTGGCGCATACCGCAGAGCCTTGGCAGATGGGGATTAACTGTTGAAATACCGTGTCCTAGAGCACATATTCACAAATGCTTGGGTGAAAATCCATGTGTGAGGGGATAAAACAAATAATAATTGAGTGTATTTGGCTAGATGAGGGAAGCTGTAGGAGAGCGTTCCTCTGATTGTGTTCTCTGACCACCTGCTTCAAAATAGCCTTAGCGTCCCACCGCAGACCCTCTAAATCAGAATTGGGTCCTTTATGATAAGTGAAGCTAAAGAACCAGTGCTCTGTATTGCTCAGTAGTGGGACTCCACACATATAAGATATGGATTACCAAGACTACTGACAAATATGATGATACAACATGTCATGTTTGATAAGGCTTCCAAATTAAACCAAGAAGTAACACTGGGATTTTGAGATCTCTCCATTCAGAAGAATACTTCTGGGAACAATTTGTAAGTTTAAGGTTTTAAGATAAGCTAAATGAATCCTATTTTTTCATAAAAAGGAGGAGAAGGGTAAGGTACCAGAAAAGAAAGAGGAACAGATCATATTTATATAGCATTGTCCACATAAACACAAATTTTTCAGAGAACCGAGATTATCTTTAAACTCTAAATGTTTTAATTTTATATTTTAAGTTTTATGGAAAGTATTTATAAAATGCCTTACACAGTTTGTTACTGCTTAAAGAGGTTACAGACCACCTTATAATATTGTCATTGCTGTCTTCTGTCACAGTTCAGTAATGCCTCAAGGACACTGAACTATGTATACATGACCCCAGACAGCTCTGCTTTTTCAGCAGTTATTTATTTATTTATTTATTTATTTATTTATTTATTTATTTATTTATTTATTTAACTAATTGTCTTGTCTCTTCCTTCACAGTCAGGCTGATAATCCTTGCTACTATCAATATGACTTTCCATTATGGTCACTATCTCTTCTAATGTTCTTCTTTAACCTAACATAGACTGGGAAATCAGATCATCGTACTGATTAAGTAAGAGTTACTATATATAAATTTCAGGCAGAATTCAGTTTTTAGGTTTGAACATATCTTACAAGGTATAAGGAACTCCCAGACTTTGAAACTCATATTTGCTAGTGGCAATAAGAGGTACAAACAAGAGACTTTTAGACTTTTTTGGTTGTTTTAATGCTGAAGTATTTTAAGATAAGAAATATCTTAAATATCATGTCATTCAACCTGCAATATTTCAGTATGCAAATAAACTATTTTTCCCTCAGAAATTTATATTTTCAAATGAAATCTGTCCCCTTCATAGCTGCCACCTTTGGAGACTGGATATATATTCTGGCAATGCTTCCATAGCTCAGGACATTTTAGAAAATTCCATTTTGAGATTGTCAGGAGAAGCTGTAGCATATTTTTTAGAATATTCTCAGTAAAGACTGTCATTATCCTTTAAAGGTAGATATGTGATCAAGAATATTTTTTTAGAAAGGAAAAAAAAAGAGTCTGAATGTAAATGATCACGACTTCACTCTGACTCTCAGGAAGGTGGTGTGCGTGGGCTTTGGAGTCACTGAGAATTTCAGCACTACCACCTTCTAGCTGTGTGACCCCAAGCAAGTTATCAACGTCTTTGAGCTTCACCTTCCTTACCTATAAAACAGGAGCAAGAGTAATTGCCTGGTAGGATTGTTGGGGAATATATAAAGTGTCTGGCAAATAGCAGGTTCTTAAAATTTTGTATTTTTTGGTAAGTATACCATTGATTTGGATATATATCTGTTTCTGGTCTGTTTGCTTGGGAGGGAAAGGCTCAGTTTATAATAATTCCCCCTTTCTAGGTTCCCTAAGTACTAGTGATCTTTCTTGGGCCTGCTGTTTCTCATCCTGAGCTGAACTTCCTCTACAGCCTTAGCTCTTGCAGCCTGCAGTGACAGTAAAGAGGTGGGCAGTGGTTAAAGCCTTTTATTTACTTTTTCAGGTTCTTTCTTTTTGCCTAACAGTCCTGAGCCGCAGATTTGAGTTTCAAGCTGATGCATTTGCCAAGAAACTTGGGAAGGCTAAAGACTTATATTCTGCTCTAATCAAACTAAACAAAGATAACTTGGGATTCCCTGTTTCTGACTGGCTGTTTTCCATGTGGCATTACTCGCACCCTCCGCTACTAGAGAGGCTTCAAGCTCTGGAAAGTTCAAAACAAGACTGACTTGCCCAGGGTCTGTGGCTGGACACATTTCTGATTGTTTCTGTCCTGACAGCATGCTCTGGCTCTTAATGGTTTTAATTTTTCTTTTTAAAGAAAACTATTAAGTACAGAAAGCCCAGATTTAAATATATTTAATATCATTTCAAAGATTATTTTAATAATCCATTTCTTAATGAAACACTGGATGAAGTTTTAAGGCTTGTACTTTTATCTTTAACATCAAATTTGCCATCAACTTGTAAAAAAGTTTTTTAATGGATTTTTAGAGAGAGAGAGAGAGAGAGAGAGAGAGAGAAACCAACCCCGATTTGTTGTTCCACTTATTTACACGTTCATTGGTTGATTCTTTTGATTCTTGTATGTACCCTGACCAGGGATCAACCCCACCACCTTAGTGTATCTGGACAACGTTCTAACCAGCTGAGCTACCCCCAGCCAGGGCCATCAACTTGTAAATTTTTTGAGCTATACAAGGTGTTTGGGGCATATGTTTAAAAGAGAACACACCACCTCCAAGTCCTGTCTGTAATACAGAAATAGTGGCGCCAAACCGTTTTCATGCTGTTATGATTTAATCTGGCCAATCAGTGTTTTAAATAAGGAAGAGAGATAATAATTGGTAAGGCTGATGTTATTTAAATGAAAGTAGTTAGAAATATGCCCTATTCTACCAAATTTCTCTGTTTCCTCTCTTGCTACACATTGATCAGGAATTTCCAATAGTGCTTTGAAATTACAAATTATGTGTAGAATGTTTCAAATCATTGGGTTGTGTTTTTGTTTTTAAGAAAGTCTCAGTCTTTATCTTTACTTCCACCTGGTGAGTATGATCTGACCCATTAGGGGTAAACTAGTATTTTTCAAAGCATTCAGCTTTTTCCTCATTCATACTCTTTTATTCAATAGATGGTATATCCATTCACTTAGCAGAAATTGCCATATTGAACAGGTTTTGCTATTTTTAAAGTGGTGGAATGTGGAAAGAAGAAGAAATGATATTTTAAGAGACATGAGGGTGAAAATGCTGGCGATTCTCTTACTATAGGAAAAAATATAGTTTTCTATCTCTTTCAAGGACAGAAGAGTTTTGGTTTTTATTTTTGTAATTTTTATTAGTAAGTTGTAAGTGCTATTTAATTGGGCCTGGTTCCATTTTTGAAAATTACACCTCTTGATATGCAGATCATTTTTCTTTTTAAAACAGATGTCACAAAATACTTCTTTTTCAGTTTAAAAAGCTTCATGTTTGACTGCTTCAAATCTCTATCCACTTCCTGTATGAGAACTTTGTGCCTAACTCGCAGTGGTAATGCTTACCTTACGGGCATTTATTCCAAAGTGGGATCAACTGTGTACCCTTGATATCCGGCCAGAAAGTCTTTTGCTCAGCTCATAATTGGGTGATGTCTTCACATGGAAACATAATAAAAATAAAAATCTAGTTTAGTACTGCATTATTTATTTCCCTAAGGCTAAAGAGGAGCAGTCCTGTGATTTTACCTAGCATCCTTTATTGTGGATCCATGCTGTGTTAACTGCCTTTTCTCCCTTCTGTGCCTTTAAATGCAAATTTCAGTTCTGCACAAGTGAGACATTAAAAATTGCCATTGCAGATTGGTGTACTTTGTCTTTGATTTGACAAACTTTGTGTGTTACCTAGGTGTATGTTTATTACCTAGAGGAACAGTTGCTGGGACACGAAGAATAGTGGGTAGAAACAGCCCTGATGCTGAGTGATGTCGCCACCATCACTGTGCCTCACTCACATGGGCCTCTTTGGAGCCTTCCTCCTGCTCCACTCCAGAGCTTTACTGTTTTTTGCAGATGTTTTCTCAGAACCTTCATTCAGAACCCTTCCTTCTGTGCTTTCATAACCTCAAGTTATCTTGGGCCTGTCTGGTCTGCTCCAGCTGCCTCTTTGGTCTTCCTTACATGTGGCAGCAGTAATTAGGTTTTTAATGTGTAATTGTATTTACCTGTTCACCTACAATTTAGGAATGGCCAGAGGATACTGGTAGCTCCCTGAGGTATTACCCAATTAGGGGAAGGAGTGGAGAAGCCAACCAAAGAGGGAAGGAGGTGGCACTTTGCACCCCTCGGTGGATATGCAGGGAGCAGAATGAAGTACAGCGAGGCCTCAGGTAAAATAGCATGGCCTCAGCAGGGTTCATCTCTGAATTTAAGGTGGAGTCTCTATACATATTACCTTTATCTGTCTTGGTCCTTTGCTGACATCTGAGAGCTGCTAGTAAATTCTACCTCTGTCTAGGACAGGAGCAGAATCCCTGGGATTAAATTAGTGATTTTAGTACCAGTGATGGTCCCATCTTGCCCTTTACCTTTACATTCTCATTGTCACCCCTGGTCCTTTATGTAGTATTCCCCTCCCTGAGGAAGCCTCCTTCCACTTGGCATTTTCATCAATCCTTCGGATTCTTTCGTACGTGTGTACTTTATGTAGCTCTGACGGTTTTGAGTGTTCTCTCATCAATAGCAGAATGCTAAGTACCACTTGAGAGCCTTAAGTTCTGTCCTAGGTGCTATACAAAGAAAATCACAGAGAACTTGTGTCCAAAAACTTCTGATTCAAGACCAGTGGTGTGTGTAACTTGTATGTCAGGCTAAGTACAGTTTGGTGGGAAGGCAGAAATGACCCATAGTGGAAGGGTGTCACCCTGTTCAGACAAGACTGTCCGAGGCGGTTGCCAGGGAGGAGGATTTCCTAAACAAGTTGTGTTCTAAAAACCTGTGAAGGCAGGACTGCCCTCACCCAGTGAGCGGAATGAAGCTAGCATCTCAGATAACAGATGCCTTCGGGCCAGAGCTCCCCTGTGGCTCTGGAGGAGGTTATACAGGGTGGGTATAACTTCAGGGTAAGATCCAGGGCTCTAGAATCCAACATGCCACGTACTAGTAAGACTTCGGTCAAGAAATTTGACTGAGCCTTCATTTCTCCACCTGTTATTTAGTCAACAAATATCGAGCCCCCACTCTGTACCAAGCTCTGTTCTAGGTGCTGGGAATACATTAATAAATGAACAACAGAAAAATCCCCCCTCATGGAGTTAACATGCTAGTGTGGGGACAATCAAAATATATTAAATAGATATTAAGTGGTGATACATGTCTTGGAGGAAAACAAGGGCCTGAGGTGTTTGTTTGTGATTAGGGGTGAGGTGGGAATTGAATTTTAAATTGGGTGGTCATAAAAAGGCATCGCTGAAGGTGATGCTCGAAGAAAGAGCTGAGAAGTGAGTGGGTGACCTAAGCAGATATTTAGGGAAGAGCATTCTAGGAAGAGGGAACAGCAGGTGTAAAGACCTTGATGTGAAAGTGAGCCTGGTGTGTTTGAGAAACACCAGGGGGCCAGAGTGGCTGGGATGGGGTGTGCTAGGAAGACATGGTGGGAGGTAAAGTCAGAGGAGTAGGGATGAGGCAGATTTTACAAGGCCTTACAGGCCATTGTAGGAACTCAGGCTCTTCCCAGAGCACAGTGGAAGCCACTGGAGGGTTTCAGGCCAAGGACTGAAGGGTCTGATTTAAGTTTTATTTGAACCATCTGGCTGCTATGTTGAGGCTCCAAGGCCTGAGCAGGGGACCAGTTGGGAGGCTTTCATAATACTTCCAGCCAAGGTGGTTAGTAGTTGAATTCTGGATATATTTTGAAGGCTGAGCCAACAAGATTTGCTGCTGATGGGTCAGATGTGGGGTGCAAGAAAAAAAAGTGGAGTAGAGGATGACTCCAGCATGTTTAGCTTAAATAACTGAGAGGATGGAGTTTTCAGTCACAGTTGGAGAAGGGGGACTTTGGAGAGGCAGGTCATGTGACCATTTTGGCCACATTAAAATTAAGACAGCTGTCATCTAAGGGGAGACGCTGAGTAGGCAGTTGGATAGATGAGTTAAGGGGAGAGGTCTGGGTTAGGGATGAATAGATGGGATTTAAAGCCATGTAACTGAGTGTGATCACAAGAGGAGTGAGAGAAAAAGATATGATTCAAGGACCAAGCCAGGCTGTGCTCCAGCTTTCAGATCCTGGGGAGATGAGAAGCCAGGAGAGGGATCCAAGAAGGGCGGTATGGTGAACGAGGAGCTAAATTAGACCACCTTTTATTCCCACAAAAGGGAGCAGAAATATGGGATGAGACCTATAGGCAGAAGTGATTTTGAGAGATTATTTTTTATTATAACGGCTATTGTGTTGGCTGTTGTCATTTTAAAATCTGACAATCTAAGGGAAGAGAGGTTAGTGCCCCTGACTAGTCAGGTATTGCATGTTTTAAAATTCTTACAGACTATGGGTTGAAAGTCGCTGCCTTACTGGGATGAATAAGACCTGGCTGAGTCCTTGCCACAGCTGTACAAAGGCTGGGAAGGGATTTGCCCAAAGTTATGCAGCGGGTCACCGTCCTGACCGCCCCCAGGTTCTTCCCACAGATGTTCCTCAAACATGGCATGCCAGCCTAATGCTCACAATTTAGAATGCACCCAAATGAAGGTACCCCGCCCTCTACCCTCCCTTCCCAGAGTGGAACCCCTGACCATCGTGTCCTGGCAGTGGAGGCCCAGCCCCTATCCATCCCAGCCCAACAATTCACATCCTGGTTTGTACCCAAGTTGGGGGCTTTTATTTACAGAAAGGCCTGCGTGGATCTAGGGGAGGTGGGTGGGAGAAGGTGATGCCAGGAAGAGAAGGGGCATGGGTTTTTAAATACTCAGATGGAGGGAGGCAGGGAGGAAGAAGTGGGGCTGGCTTAAGGATAGCCACCTCAGGTAGTCACCCATCAGCAGTCACCCAGTAAGCCCAGGGGGTGAAATGGTATCAGGATCCAGCAGAGACCTCAGTCCACCTGCCCCAAGGACAAGATGGCCAGTGGAGGGTGGCGCAAATTAAGGAGATACTTGTTTTGGTAACATCTGAGTGGTGCTCCTGGAAGGGAAGCCACCCCTTCCTCTGAGGACTTGGACTCTCCAAAGACACTTGCCCTGTCTGTTGGCCTCACCTTTTTACTCCAATGCCCTGTCTTCCCTTCCCTCATGTTTTAGAATTTTCTTTCCTCAGGATCCTAGGTCCAGACAGAGGTCCTGAGAAAGCTAGTTTCCTGGGCAGAGGGACGGGGTACATGTCCACCCAGGGGGGACCTAGTCCTTCCCCCCCAGGATGCCTGCTGGGCTCCATCCTGGCCTGATGCTCATGGCCCCTTGATGGATCCAGGCTCTGTGAGGCGTGCAGAGGCGTAGGCTGAGGCTCCAAGGCAGGCTGCAGGCTCACAGAAGCCTGGCAGCCCCACAGGACCTGGCGGGCCAGGTCGGCCTGCCTCTCCCGGGGCCCCTGGGGACCCTCGGTCTCCATCTTTGCCATTGATTGCCTGGCCAGGCCGGCCAGGGAGTCCTGTGAAAGGGAGAAGGTAAAGACATCAGGACTTCTTCCTGTCTTGGGTCTAGAATTCGTAAGTCCCATTTTTCAGGTGGGGAAAATGAATCCAAGGACACCACAGACAGAAAGGACTCAGCCCCAGACACACAGGTTTAGAGTCACATGTGATTGTCCATTACTCCCAGCTCCCCATTAGTGGGTCTTGGAAGCAAATGCCCTTTCTTTCCCTCCATGAAGCAGATTTTGGTGCAACCCAGGAAGTCCTCAGCTGTCCAGTTCCCAGCCAGACCCCACCCAGGGGGCTCCTGGGGGCTCCAAAGGGATATAAGAGCTGGGGTATGGCACTGAGTTGGCTGAGCATGAGGCTTCTCTGGAAGAGACCCACTTGTCTGTGGATCACTAATCCCAGGGCTGAGAGACAGAACTGCTGCTGAGCAGGGCCAAGGTCTTACCTGGGATCCCTGGAGGCCCAGGCATCCCGGGGTGCCCACGTCCCATGTCTCCCCGGTCACCCTTCTCTCCTCGTTTTCCTGCAGAGAAAGGTGGGGGCCCTAGCTTTTCAGAATTGGAAAAGGTTTTTTCTACTTTGGTTGCTATTCATTTCTGTTTCATACACAGCAGTTATTCCTGTTTTGTATTAGTTTACAATGGAGGAAAGTTGGAAATGACTGCAGAACTGCCTAAATAAAGGAAGGTCCCAACAAAGGATGGAAGACCACAGGGTGGGCAAAAGTAAATTTACAGTTGTTTGTATGGAAAATAATACAATAATTAATAGTAATACAAGAATAAACTTTCATGTACTCACAACTGTAAACCTACTTTTGCCCCCCCCATACAGCTGATAAAAGTTCATTACACGGGGGTGTCTAATAATGACAGCTGCCATTTACTATGTGCCGAGCAGTGAACTAAGAGTTCTATGTGAGTTACCTCTGAATGTCATCCTCAGGGCAACACTGTGAGGCTCTTGCTATTAATATCCCATTTTACAGATGCTAAGTCTAAGACCAGGGAGATTAACAGGTGACTTGTCTGAGCCACAACAAGCAAGTGGCAGAGGCTGGACACACACCCATCTTGTGATTCTTGAGCCTGCCTTCTTTACTATTTTGTTAATCTGCCTCCCTACTTTTAGAGACATGGAAAGCGGTTTATGGGGTGCCACTAAGTAAATTTAAAACAAAACTCTCCCCCCAAAAAACCCAAGTTATAAAATAGTACATTTGTTTCTA